AGTCAAAAATATGTGAAAGAGAGCGCTGGTGACGTCACTTCAAGCACTATCCCAGCAGCTGCCTGAAGGCCGAGGAAGGCCATAAAACAGCCTATGTCCGGGGGAAGATTCGAACCGACTGGGTATATATGGTAAGAGTAGTAGTGATGGAAATCGAACTCGGGACCGCCAGATCTTCACCCCAACGCGCCCTACAACACTTTCAAGTAGCAGTAATGGAGGTAATTTCGAAATCCAATCTGATTAAATTCATAGCTTAATTTCTTAATGTGTTCATCTGCATGGGAGCGACAAGGAATTGTGCGCTTAATTGCCATGCATACCTGCCGTCTGGCGGGAACAGCACGCTCAAGAAATGTGTTCCTCTGAGAACTGTTACACGCAAACGAGGGGTAGGAATAACATCAGATAACAGTAATCCTGCAGAGCCCCTGGGTATTCTGCCACGTGTTTGCCATTTCCCACGGTCATGTCAGTTCTGTTACAGGCATAAACTCAGTGTTGCGTGGCTGAAGCACAGTGGTTACTATATGTACCACTTGCGCTAACATTAACAAAATCCTCACGGACTGAACTTCACGACACCCACAGTGGCTACACTCTACTACACTTCCGAACGCTTTACCCTGTCTCGAATCTACCTTTTCTCGCAGGACAATCAGGTGCTGCCTGGAAACCTGTAAAGCTGGAATATTCTGCCCCCCCCCCTAAGTGCAGTATGACTCATTCTGTCTCTCTGCAACTTCCGTGCTTCAAACGTTCATCACAACGTCGTGGCAACGCCACACAACAGTGATGTTTTCTCCTGCAACACCTTTCTTCCTCTAAAATACACTGATGATCATATGCACCACATTCTAAAGCAATGACCGTTCTGTACACAGTGCATCCATCCATTCTAACAGACATAACGTAACTCTGTAACTGCGAGTATGAACTTTATCAGAACTGGACTCTTCTGTGTGGACGGAACGCCGAGACAGACACCGTTATTCAAGCCTGGATAACGCTGGCCCCTGCAGGTTTCGCTCGTACTACAAGCATCGCAGATGTGTAGGAGCAGTTGCCAGCAGCACACGGCGCTCATGCGAATCTCTCATCAAGCACAGACTGAGGGCATTGAGGGAGAGGAAATGACAGGAAGTTGAAGAGAGCTGCACAGGCAGGGCGATGAGCTGCATAATTTATACTCATCGCCATATATTATTAGGAAGCTCAAATCAATAGACGTGAGATGGGCGGGACATACAGAACGAATGGGACAGGTCAGAAATGGGTATAAATTTGGGGCTGGAACATCTGAGGCGGCGACATCTACTGGGAGACCTAAGTGTACATGGACTGGGTTCATCTGGCTCAGGATATGTACCTATGACGGGCAGGCTCTTCTGCACCCACTAATGAACCTTGAAGCTCTATAAAATGCAGGAACTTTCGTAACCAGCTGAGCAACTATTAGTTTCTGAAGGTATCTCTACACACTTCTATTTCGGTGCATTTGCAGTGCACGCACTCACGTAAACCTCAACAATATAACTGCACTGTTAACTTACTATAAACACGATCTAAAGTTTGTGATGATGGTATTATAAACCCTTTAAAGCCCAGTGGTAAAAATATGCACCACCCAATTTAACACATTAAAACTCTGCATTCTGCCCACAGAGTGTATCTGTGTGTTCCGTATGGTTCTCACGGTAAACAGCGACTGTTTCCCTAAACAGCATTAGCCGGTTGGGCTTTGTAGCGGTGACGTAATGTGTTTCCTGTGAGGTACGGACTGTATTTATATGTATAATGTTTAGAAGAAGTACAATCTTTAAAGGGTTAATACAATTATTGACTTTTGGACATTATCCAAAGTCCTGCTTCTGATTAAAAAAAATATTTCGGAGACTGGGCTTCTGTTCTGTAGCACCCTGATTTTGTGCACTCCGGCCGTAGATGCAAAGCCTCTTGTTGCGATGTTTGTCTTAACTCGCGCTGATGGCCATTGCTGTGTATGCTATCTTGTATTGGTGCTGGTGTCCGGAGATAGGGACAGGCTCTGTCGACTGGACCCAACTGATTACGCTTCTGCCTGAAATGCACACAACGCGTGCGATACAGTCCGCCCCACGCTAAGTACATGACAGAAAAACTGCAACTAAAAACGTCGTCCTAGACAGAAAAAAAAAATCCACCTGCTGGATATATCCTCCTGTTCACAGGAATATAATAAAAATAGTATCTGTAATCCTCACTTTCAGCTCCTGCAAATCATTCTCTACATCTTTCCGCCATACCAACCTGGGCTTTCCCACTTTCCTTATTCCTTCTGGCTTGTTTTTAAGACAGATCCCAGCCACTCCTGTCTGACCCACTCCAATGACTTGCCGCAAACACGCATCATCCTTGATTCAGCATCTGCTTAGCAGATCAGAGATCTCATGCCGACATCCTCAGTTCGTGGCTGGTTCCGAGTCTCCACGTCCCTTGCTCAGTCACTGGCCCCTCCGTGCCCCCAAACATGTGAGGAGGGGGCACGGGTACCCCCTGGGCAGACCCTGTAGCTCTCTTATCCGCCCCACTGAAACGAAATTCCTCTTAAAGGACAGGACAGTCCTCGAGGCCGGGAAGGTATGCTTCCCCACTTCCCAATTGTCTGGGCCGTGAAAGGTGCCTTGTATTGCAATCCTCAAGTCCACATTTCCATCCTCTTGGGAGGAGCAACCCTGTCCACCGCCATTTTGTGCACAATTCCTCTTTTCCTCCAGGAGACAACATCGGACCCCTGGAAAGGGTCGTTACTCCTTGCTACTCACTTCCCCGCATGCGGCGATTGAACAGCGTGCCTTTATTTACACCCTTCACTGGTGTTCATGACCACCTTACTTACGTAACCAAGCCCGTTCCCGAACCTACTTACTTCAACTCTGAAGATGGATACAGCAGTTCCTCCAAAATGTCGGTTCTCGCCCAAGTTGCACGGTGTCATAACCCAGAAGGCGACAGTCTTAAGGGTTTGCCTAGCGACTCATGGAAATAAGATGGTTCCTACTTCATTGTACACCCTGTTGGAACAGTTACCATGTTTTATAAGATGTCCTCGGGGGCGAACACGCAGATCCAGACGAAGTACGAACCCTGCCTTTGGGAGTTCGTTTCCACCGTAGAAGTGTAATGGAGTTCAGGGACACGCAGTTATCGGGGCAACGCACACGAAAACCGCAAGCAATTGCCAAGGAAAATGTCCTAATTAAGATCTTACACCGCAGCGCAAACTGAGCAGAGGGAAAAAATGAGACATTACAACCGCTAGCGGTTTGCTGTAGGGCATGCTGCATATCGTCCCCAGGAGCCCTCTATCATCACCATTGACGTTAATGGTTTTCCTCAGTCCCACTACATCTTAATGCAGGCCACGACCACTTCTTACACATCATCTCCAATTCATCGCACCACTGCTCACGCCGAACGGGAGAGGTGTCGTGAAATAAAGGTTCATCAGTTACCACGTGTCAACATTTGGCCGTACGCCCCTACATGTTGGAGCAGACTGTCACGGTCATTAAGTCACTTTGTTCCGCTGACTGCCACTACACCAGCGGGTGAGTGGACAGCTTCATGTCCCGGCCGCTTTACCCACTGGGAGAGAGAAGGCTCTTGCCGCTGCTGGAACAGAATGCAAGTTCCTTGTCCCTCAAGACGGAGCGCGGAGGCTTCGGAGAAGAAGCAGNTGCTGGAACAGAATGCAAGTTCCTTGTCCCTCAAGACGGAGCGCGGGACGCAAGGGCGGAGGCTTCGGAGAAGAAGCAACACTCGACTAGGGCCCACTGTAGTTACGGCAACACCCGCACGTCGCTTTAACAGCCGTGGCTACCGTACATATTGGAATTTCATAATATCTTCTGTTGTTCTCTATAAGGTCCGTCGTACTAAATTAACGTGGCTCCCAGGTTCAAAGTTGCTACTGAGTGCATCTCATGCAACCCCACTGATTTAAGTTCATCAAAACTAAACCCCCCCCCCGAAAACGGCAATGAATTACCTATACAAATTACGTAGTTCATCGTTAATGCAGAAAATCAAAATTCCGCGGGTCCTGTCTCGAGCCTCTGCTTCCAACCTAGGATCACTCGGAAGACACGGGTGTGTATGAGGATAATACTAAAATGGATCTTACAGAAATTGGACGGGATCCATCCGGCTCAGGTCACGGACCAGTGGCGGGCTCTTGTGAATACGGCAATGAACCATCTGGTTCCCATCGGTGAGTACATAGGAAAACAGAATTAAGGCCTTCTCTTATGTGACACAGTGCAGTCTTGTAGTTAGGTTCCATAGTCCCAGACCCAACTGCTGCCTCTGTGACGTCCGCGCTTCTACGCTGAACGTGACAGTAGGCTCCTCCGCAGCTTTTACGTGTATCTACCAAGCAATACGGCGTCATACCCCAGAAAAAATGCAAGGTCAGTAATGGCCGCTGTCAGAACCTCAAATCTCATCAGACAAAACAAAATGGCACTCCCAGATACTACTAAAACTGATACAATTACTTCCGTGTAGTTGAGCTCCAGTCGCTCAGCTACTCACAAAAATTCCGAAACATTTCATGGAACTTGAAGGTTCATAACCGTGTTCACAAGAGCCCTCCACTGGGCCCTATCCTGAGCCAGATGAATCGAGTCCACACCCTCCCATCTATGCCTAGACCCTCCTAGGGACCCTTTCATATTATCCTACCAAAACTCTGTATGGACTACTCTCCCATGCATGCTACATGTCCCGCCAATTTAAGGATTCATTACTAATAAACATTTCCGTAAATTTAGATGTATGCATGAAAACAGCTGAATCAAAAACTTCCACAAGTGAATTCCTTGTTGCCAGTGCGAGCGAGCAACCAGTTTGTGGAACACCCGGTTATTACCAAATCCAGAGGATATGGGCAGGACATGAGGAGGGCCAGATCTGAAAGCAGGCGATGTGCTCGATGTAGCAAATGGCGCTCTCCTTACCTGCGGCGAGATGTGGAGTCGCTCTCAGATCCTCACTTGTTTGTTAACGCGGCGTCCGGTCAGGGGCGCAGGTCTGCAACAAGAGAGTTCCAAATGAAACAGCTGACAGCCGGTACAGCCAGGCGACATTCACATCAAACCCACGGCTCTGCCTCAATCTGAACAGGGTGTTAGGAAAGTCTGTTCCGTCTTCGGTCATTTGCGGACTCAGATATGAAAGGACCGAGAAAGTTGGATCATGCGGTAACGCTTCAGATGACCGGTTCAAAACTCGGCTGGGACACCCGACTTTCTTCACTCAGCCTTCCGCTGTCTTGCTCAGGCTCCGCCAGTACTTTGCGGTACGGCATGACAGTTTGCTTATAAATCATACACGGAGTCCGCTTAAAATAAAACGATGTTTAGGAGCAACATGTAGCCTCCATCTTCAGGGCCGAAGAATAAGCCAAGAAACCTGCATGAAGTACATATGAAGCAGAGATACCTTCTGCAAGTTGGCTTCCTGCTTGGCTTGCTCTTCGACCATGAAGATGGAGGCTATATGTTGCTCCGAAACATCGTACTCTAACAGGACTATACCGCCTTACAACCCACGCTTCACAGTCACCTCCGGGAGATCCTCTGACCCAATGAGAGGTTTCCTTCTGACGCATTTCATACGAAATTATCTATATTAATATTATCCCCCGCTAAAGATTTATTAGAAAGAGTTCTATTAATTTCTTACGTAAATCTGTTTCTTCCGTTGAAACTACAAATGACTCCATTCCAATTTGAACGTCAGGAAGACACTCGCTACACTCACAAGTGCCGACACTTATGTCATTTTGCTTAAAAACAAATACTGTTTTAGTCAGTCGACAATTGTAAGCATTCAGAAGCAGCAACACATTCTGGGGCACCCTGTACATCAGTCACCAGCTACGCAACTGCGTACCTGGGGACGGAATTACTCGAGCGTCATTGGGAACTGCTCAATTACACTTGTTCGCTTCGCCATAAGCCCTGCAGCAGGAGAGCGGGCTTCCACAACAATCAGTACTTCACTGACACGGCTTTCCACTCCGCTGTGACCCTGGGTCCAACTACACCGCGGATTGAATCAACCCTCTTCGCGATACGGACGAGATATCTCGTTTAAAAGCACTGCCCCCTCTGCACTGGGCCTATTGTTCCAGAAGTTCGGTGAACGGAACGTAACAGTTAATCTAGGGGCGGGGGTGGGGGAAGTAATGACGTTTCACAAAAGAAAATCGGTGCAAAAAAAAACACTGCACATGCTCCCTCATATACCTGTACCACTGAGCTTGACTATGTTACCGTGGAAACGAACTCGATTTTTGTTCGGTAGACAATTCTCGGCTCCTATATATAAGATCCATGGAATGTAAGCGTTATGTGCTAAACTTTTCTCGGATGATAAGCCGTGTCAATGTTCAATGCTTCGGAGATATACGTTTCCATCATCAGGGTCGATGTGGGCAATAACATTTACATTAGGGCAGCCACCCATCCGACTCAGACCTTGCACCGTGTTGCTTAACCTGGCGTCCCTCCTGCGACAATTTCAGCATATCTGTTCCCCGTGGAAGGTTCGGTTGTTTAATTACTCCGTACACGCCTCTGGAACCTCAAATCTTACTGCATCATAAAATACATATTTGCTAAGCAATTACCTACAACTTCCAAAAGCCGTACACGGAACAAAGACTTATTACGTATTTGGGTCCACTACCTCTACACATGGAGCCACTGGCTAGGAGCTGGACGACCGAGGAGTCGGGGTTCGAGTCCCGGTAGGGGCAAGAATTGTCTCTTCTCCACGTCGTCCAGAGCGGCTCTGGGGTCCACCCAACCTCCTACGCAATGGGTACCCTTGGTATTTATTTCTGTTAGAGGCTGTGTAAACCCCAGGGGCACAGTGCGGCAGGAACCATTATGTGCATGATACTACTGCTACTGCGTGAGAAGTTCCCTCGTGAGCCAGGCAGGCACCAACACGACCGCGTTACTTAAGTAGCCTAAGCTCCAGGCGATGTTCCGTATGTCCGTTCCGCTTGCAAATGCGTCGAGACGCTGGGTTTTTCCGATTGTCTGAGAGTGTGACGTAAGAACTAGCTGCAGAGTGGTTGGAGCCCCTCTCGGATGGGCGAGCAGCCCATTTGTTATGTCAGTCCCTCGTCTGTGTGTTACTGTGTGTTTCACAAGCGCAATGTCTCCGGCAAAAGTGAGAAGGTAAGCCTAGACAAGAAGGGGCGGATGTCCCATTTATTCCTTGTCTTTCAGATCACCGCAGTAACTATATGTACCATCTACTTTAATACCGAATATTCTGCATTCTGCCCACAGAGTGTATCTGTGTGTTCCGTACGGTTCTCACAGTAAACAGCGACTGTTTCTCTAAACAGCATTAACCGGTTGGGCTTTGTAGTGGAGACGTAATGTTTCCTGTGAGGTACGGACTGGATTGCAATATATTAAGTAGACGAACTGGGGGGTTAAGCGGCCGGAGCGTGAAGGTGAAGGTGCCGAGGTAGAGAACTGTGAAGGTATGCCTTCACTTCCGCACACGTCTTCATGGCGCAGTGCTTAATTAAGTATAGAGGCTTCACCTTTCTTTATTTAGATGAATTACAAACTAAATAAATATGAGGTCAGATTCACGCTCAAGCCGTTTCAACCCTGGACTTGTGTCTCTCCCACGACACGGATGGCAGATGTAATGAGAGCAGTAAGTGCTGATATCTTTCCGTATCAGTGGAACTAGGGGTCCTTTGTCAACAGAGCTGGATTGTACCTAAAGCAAAAGCGTATCGCGCTGCGCGCGCACGCACACCCAATATGAAATGCATTTCGCTGTAGCAGTCTGGATATGGTTATTCAGTTACTGACTCGAGACAAGGCAGTGTGGACTGATCTGGTATTGAGCGAATCATAAATTGTAAAACAGCTTGAAAGGAAGTGTTCGTGGACTCATCGAAATATCCAACTATATTTCCGTGGAGTGTATGAGAAAAATCATGAGAAACCTCAGCCAGTATAGCCGATACCTCGGGACATACTGGAACGAGTTCTCCCAAATAAAACTCGAGAATGTGCCCTTTACAATACATTGTACATTAAACAACTTCCATTAGGCGCTGTAGGTCTACAAGCTGAGCTACTGAAACCGTCGTTAAATAAACAAAGTATCGGTTAATCTGCCACATGAACCGTACGAAGTGTGACGCTCCTCGATACAGACTTAATCTTGTCGGTTTTCCTTCTCCCCGGTGCAAGTATTTTGTTTGGGACGCCCCGAATCTGTGATCTCCCTTCAGCACGAGCCTCCTCCGCAGGTATCAGTACATCTCCCATACCAATCTGTACAGTCTCAGCTTTCGAACACAACCATTCAGTCTTCATACAAAGTAACACGAGATTTCCAGCTGACTGTCGGGCAACCACATCACCTGCTGTTCTGCGCAATCGAACGCGCACCTGTATACCCCGCCAGAGGGCAGTGCAGTCAGCAGTGATACAGACTACAAGGCGAGATGCGTACAGAAGAGCAACAAATCGCAACCCTGTGTACCGGCGCAGATGGTCGCTGCGTCCCCACTAGCTCTTAACTCTGATATTGATGCTATGAGAATATCACCCTTACTGACAAGTCAATGAAAGTGTCTCATCGCGAAAGCAAAGGCCACGGGGGACGTGAACGTGTTCTCGAAAGGCAGAATAATCCTACAGAGACGTTTTGTCTGTGTGCGTGCGTCTCATAAACACATGCCGGCCTGTTCCGGCCTCAATTATCGAGACTTCCCCACGCACGCCGTGTGCGCATGTTCAGTGCTTCCGAAATTCCGTTTCCTTCCCTTCTGCCCCCCTTCCGAATTCAGCTGGCTAAACACGAATAAATAGCAACATAAAATTATCCCTGAGATTAATCAAGCACCATGCCATGAAGACGTATGGAGGAATAGAGGTATAGCTCCAGGAATTAACATCGGCGAGTAGTCTGGTGCCTACTGGTTAGGAAGCTGGATGAGCTACTGGGCCCGTCTGAGAAACTGAAGGTGGGGTTCCTTTTATCCCCCTCATTTCAAAATATCTGACTTTAAGTTAAGCAAAATTACTGCCACATGAGGACAGTAGGACAGTACGTGTATCGCGTGTGGCAGTCGTGAAAACAGTGGAAAGTAACTGCAGCATTTGGGTCACGCCAACGTGTTGCGTTGCGTGAGTCATATGAGATCCGGAATGTGAGTTCAGTACATGAGTCACGCCAACGTGTGCTGCATTGTGAGTCGTATGAGCGATGGAATGTGAGTTCAGCACGAGTCACGCCAACGTGTCGCATTGCGTGAGTCATATGAGATCGATGGAATGTGAGTTCAGTACATAAGTCACGCCAACGTGTGCTGCATTGTAAGAGTCATATGAGCGATGGGATGTGAGTTCAGTACATGACGTGAGCCGTGCAACGTGAGAATATCATCAAAAAGGAGAGGTTCGCAACACATCCCTCTACTGAGATACTCGTATTACGTGTGCTGTACGAGTTCTCAGGTTATATAATTATGGTTTCTATCGTACGTTGAAAATATCATCACGTGATTGACTACAGACGGAGTGATTTGATCTATTGAACAGTTACACATAGTAACTAGAAGTAATTACGACAGTCTCACTAACTTACACAGTCCAATGATCACTGTAACTACAACACACATAGAGCCTTCTAAGTCTTCATTAGCCGTTGCCTGGTAGCGACTCCCAGTAGTGGACATTCCCTTCCTCTGTATTCCTGAAGTCTCCCCGGCTTCAGCTACCACCTTCTCACAACTGCACCTCTCGACAAGTCAAAGTCAAAGTTACTTTACGACTGCTAGTTTACGCCAAATCAGTACGTCTTGGCGTCAAGCCCTTTGAGGCTCAGGACCAGATAGCCCCGGCACGGACCGCACGGAAAACTTCCATTATTGCGTGTTCTCTCGTAGCCGGGGAAACAGCGTTTCCACAGAGGTGCTCCCTAGCAATGGCTGCTAACATGGCACAACATAATCTGCTAACTTTGTAGAGATTATGTAA